TCCCACCCCTATTGGCTATTGGCTACTGGGGTTCTTGCCTGCCTGTTGCTGGGGTAGGTGTGGCACAGTCGTGGCGTCCCACTCTCACTAACAACTACATTCTTTAACAGGCTTATGCGCACACACATGTACACACATACAGACACTTTCACCCACACGCACACAGACACACACAGTCTCACACATAGACACAAACAAATTTAGGTTGTCCCTGGTAGAATTATTCCTGATGCTTTTCTTTCAGTTACTTCTTTAAATTAATTGTTATTATTCCAGCTCTCGTGGCTGTGTTGTGTTGCTTATTTAGTGTGCGTGACTGTTTCTTGTTTTCATTTTTCTCTTAGTTGTCTTACTATGTCAGCTGCTTATTGCTGCTGTTTGGCTGGTTGTCTTTTACTATTATTATTATATTTATTGTTTGTTTGTTTGTTGTTGTTGTTTTTCTCCTCCCCAAGCCCCCTCTCTGTTCTATTGCAGGTTTTGTTGCTTTCTGCAATTGGTGTTTCCCTCTCCTATTCCCTGTTGTCCCCACCTTCCATCCCACTCCTCTTGCAGGTATTGTCCTTTCTCTGTGCTCTCTGTTTGTACCCCCCCATCCCCATGTCTGCCCCCTGTCCGGCCCGGTGATAAATCAATACATAATTAAATAAATAATAAAACAGACAAAGGAGTATATTAATACTCTCTTGTTAAAGTAAAATATGTCTGGCACAACATGGTATCCAGCTCATCATACTCTATACCAGGCTGCTGGGCAGCACAGGTTTAAAAGAAAATAAAAAATAAAATAATAAAGTGTGTTTGTGGTTTTATGAAAGTGAAGGGATTTCTGGGCAGTATCTGGTACCAGTGGGTTTGTCATCCGTTCCGTTGTGTGATATGTCTGATGTGCCAGCGGTGGCACTGAAACCTCGCACTCTGTCTGCTCTTTCTCCAAGATCATCTACTCAGTCAACGCCACAACTTATTGCAACGGGAGATCCTTTTATCTACAGACTTGCGCCTAACCAATAACATTTCCTCTCCCCCAAATCAAAAACAGGTCAGTGCTTTTGCTCAGTAAACCCACTTCACTGCCTCTTCAGCCAGATGAATGACATCCAGTTGTGGTCAGAGAAAATGCTGCTACTGGAGACACAAGACTTCTCCATTAAGATAAATAGTATCTTCAGTGTACTGTTATTACAATTTAAATTTACTTGGGGCTCCTCTTTAGGTCTTTAAGCCTATGAACCAATGAATATCACCCCATTTGCAGGCATTTGACAGAATTACTAACAAAAATGTAGTGGCACAAAGAGGTGTTATGTCCATTCCATCTCCTTTAGAGCCAGTCATGTTTTTTGAGGCCTAAATTGAGATAGAGTGAGTTAAGAAGGTATCCATGCTCTTTTTCAGAAATGTCCAGCTATAGCCTCAAACAGCTTCATGTTTTTACAGCTGGGAGCTGCTCAGTAGCTGGGACACCTCTCTGCTGCTAGCCACGAGAGATCTCTGCAGACAAACCTGGCATTTGTGTCAAACGTTTTGTGGCCTTACTATTATCAAAACAGCATTTGTCATTGCTTCTGTTGTGGTTGCAGAAAATAGCTGTTAAGTCTCCGCCCTGCACCATCAAAAGCAGCAACGTCATCCTGTGAGAAACTGGGCTACCGGGTTCTCCTACCAAGAATGAATTGGAGAAGCCTAATGCAGAGCTTCCCCACCTTTTTGGCCCAAGACCCAAACTTTAGTTCTGACACCGATTTCTCTAAGTTATTTAAAACAATTGGATACTTCTCAAATGGCAGATGGGATTGTGCAGCGTAATGAAAGAACATATATAATATATTTTATTGCTTGAATTTAACTGAATGAATGAACTTAATTTCCTCTGTAAAAACATATATTTTCATGTTCCATTCTGACTCCAAGGTTGGGAAGTGATGTCAAAGAAGCTATTTAATAATACATATAAAAAGGAAAGTTATGTTAATGAACAAGTATCTACTGATTAGTTTAGAGATATCTGTGAATCTGACTAATTTTCTAAAGAACCATTCCTGATTATCTCTGATATATGAATATTTATTAATAACTATTTTTGTGTTTCCTCAAGTAAAGTGGTACATCATTACCAAGTTGTTAATTGCCATTTTTTTTGGTTAGTATTTAGGTTAGTATTGCATTATATTTTTGCCTAAATTTGTCTAGATCGGCAAATAAGTCTGTCATCGGCCCACATTTTTTTCAAGTCATTACATGGCGGGCCGGAACATAGTCAATTGATATGATATATTCTCACATTTACTGTGTGTGATTAGCTCAGTAGGTAATGCACAGCACTCCTGTTTGGAGAGTTGTGTGTTCAATCCTAATGTTCTTAACTCGTATTTTTTTTCTTCCTTTTTCAAAAAATTTATTGTAGAGATCGTATTAGATATTACAATTAAGCGTGAGCAGGGGTGTGTACATCACAGCGATTGGTCCACATCAACTGGCTTTTTCAGTGGTGTGTCAAGTAAGCCAGAGACTCTTTAATTTTCTTCGGAACTTTTCAAAGTAAAAGCTCTCACTTAAACATGACATGAAGTACTGCTGCAAAATGTTCTTGCGCTTTTATTTTGTAGGCACAATCACTTAAAGTGATTGTGAGTAACTTTTGCTGTCATGACTGAGATCTGTTTAAGCACCAGTTGCTATATTTATATTTTTATATTTTTATCAAATTAATCTGGCCACGGGCCAGACATTATTGCTGGCGGCCCCACTTTGGCCCGCGAGCCGCCTATTGCCGACCACTGGTCTAGATGTTCAAACTGGTGAGAAGCCGTGGTTTGTTTGTTCACATTAGAGCACCCATGTCCTGTTCTTTCATTGGTTTGAACCACTCTATCCTGGCTTAGTCATTTGGCAAAATGCTGTGTGAGTGTTTGGAAAACACTGAGCATATTAGTGAACAGTGGAAAACTGGGTTTCTTTAAAAGATTTGATATTTCTGTCTCACATAAAAACATGTCGCTGATGGAAGCCATTATAACTTTACATAAATCCAAGCCGGCCATGTCCTCTGCTCTCTGTGAAGGAGCAAACTACCAACTGTTTAAAGCCCCCTTTCATGCCTAATTGTTTCACTGAAAAGATGGAGCATCCCTTTAAGAAACTCCATAAGCAATATTTTTACATTTACAGAGGTGTGTCAGCTGTTCCCTCCCTGGCTTTAGGGAGGACTCTACTAGTTCTGGCCTAAATGACTTATCTGCAGTTGAAGCTGGGTGATGTTCACGGAGAGCTTAGCTGGCAAATCTGCCAGTGATAAGAAAAGGACAGGATAAAAAAGCCCTCACCTCTGAGCTCAGTAGCAGCAGTGGAGTTTGTTGAGGCCTTCCAGCGGTTCTGGTGCTTTTTAAACTCCTGCACCCGGCACATGTAGAGCCCCCGGTCCCCCTCGGACACATTCAAGATTAACAGGTCAAAGACCTTCCCCTGTTTTACCACCGTCAGCTTCAGTTTGGGCCATGAGAAACTCTTTGTGTAGTTGCCATAGAAACGTTCCTTCCTCATGTTGATGCGAGCGATGAGGAGTTCGTCCTCTGACCGGTCTGTGCCCGCTGGCAGGAAGGTCCATTTCACCACTGGTAGAGCAGCGTTACGCCGCCTCTGAGACACAACACAGGAGAGTGTGATATTTTGACCCTCCTGGGCCACCGTGAAGGGGGAAGGGGTGATAGTGACGTTGATGGCCGAACACAAATCTGAAGAAGCAAGATTTATACATTATTTCAGAATCTGTATTTGGAGCAGTATATAGTATCAAGATGTCTGGATTTGTTTGGATGACTGATTATCTCTATTGTACATTATATATATATATATCTGATCACATCCAATCCCTTATAACCTGAAAAAGATGTCAGAGAAGTGGATGTTGGTTATGTGTTAATATACACATGTGACTATTAAAGCCATGCTCCTCTCCAGTATTGACTGCTTGATTGAGTTGAGGCACCTCTCTAAACACATTTTCCTGTCTTTCCATTGGTTTGCTTTCCATTTGTTATGCTACAGCTGGTTTCTACATTGTAAATTGTAATGTCAATGTAAGTACTGAAACTAGTTGTACAGAATTCTTTACTTACTTTCTTTTTGATTGTTAATTAGATGTTCTAATGTAAAACTCACTAAATTAACTGAAGTTAACTGAACTGAACTGGAGTTATTCAGTCAGTTCCTCATATGACACATAATGTTAGCAGCTGCATTTAGAGCAGTATGATTTGTTCATTTTTATTGGAAATGACCCAAGAAAAGACTTTAAAGGTAAGAACACATCTTTTTCCTTTTCATTTTGGTCTGCTGTTCAGGTTAAAGCATTTGAACCTCATAATGACCGCACTGACTATATCACTGCCGCTCCCAGTATCTGCCGGATGATGGCACAAATCTGTTGCTTGCCAACCAAAAAAGAAAGAAAAAAAACTGTTTTTCTATTGTGTAGTTTTTTTATTGTGGACAGATGTTTCCGAAAATGACCTGAAAACACCAGTCTTTTTGACATGTAAAAGGCAAATTCAGATTCATGCACCTTAGGGTGGATGTAGCCTGACAAACATGCTTAAAGACACGTGATGCGTATGGATCAGGAAACTCTAAATAATTGAAATCTTTAAAGAAAATTTTAAAACAAATATAATTCATATGTTGTGGTATAACTTCTTATCTTCATTTGACATATTAATTGAACAGTCAGTGGCACATTCATTTAGCTCATTAATTTAAGCCTCAAAGCTTGAACATAGATGGTTTTAAATGTGATTATTTGTAATTTTAAAGTGATTCAACTATTATTAATTAATTGATTTATTTATAGTATTTGTCTAAGGTAAACAGCATCATAGCAAAACTCAGTTTAAACAGGTCAGTGATTCTTGACCTTCAAAACAGCAGTTGACCAAAAATTCACCACTCAAGGTCCACTTCCTCGCTTGCCAAATGGTCACACATTTGCTCAGTTGTCATGAAACTGGAGATGTTCAAACTTGATATAATTTTCATGATCTCAGCTTTGTCAACTGCCTTTTTCACAGTCAGGAAGGACCTGTTCATTGCTACTGTTCAACTCTTTAGCCAGGAAGTCCTAACAATGCTCGGAATAAGGTCAGGTCAAAGATAGGTTGTCCTGTCATGGGATTCACTTTGGGATTCACCACACATTGATTTAAATCAGATCAGTTTAAAGGTTTCTGTATGGTGCCTGATCTGTGTCAAATGTGAGGGAAAAAATGTAATTCATGCACTCTACAAACTTTACTACAAACTTTATGCATCTTTATGACAAATTACTTTACAGTAAACAACAATGTAAGGGGAAGTTTCCTCTAACATTTTCCCTAAGATGAAAGAAGTACTCTGATTTACTGTAAAATGGGGGATGGGAGCCCTTTCATTCAACTTCCAAAATCACCATAAAGTTAAAAGATGGCATGCATTAAAAGTAATGACTGCCTGACTAACTGACTCTCTTTAACGTCTCTAGATCACTAAAGCAGCATGAAAAAACAACAACCAGCAACAGCAATAAATGTAGTGAACGCATGCTAAAATATCATATCTAAAATCCATACAGTCCACCTCTCTGGTAGCTTTGTTGTTGCTCAGCACAGCCTTCTTCCCAGTCATACTGACAGCCGTGGTTGTTTTTGGCAACGTGACGACATACGTCGGATGAATATTGAGGAACAAACTTTACTGCTGCATGTGTTGCATGACAATATATCACACGTTTTTTTTTCCCCAATGTTGGGCAATTTTACAATCCACACTTTCCATGACACGCAAGCATTTTAGTGTCACACAACTCAAATGCGTTCAGCTCAGCACGTAATTAAAATCAGTACCTTTTCTTCCACTGTTGTCTTTCATTTAGTTTTGAGTGACAGAACAAAACATGGGAAACATAAATGCCTAAAAAGTGTTTTTGTGTTGCATGTTGATTCTGAAGTCTCAAACTGGTATATTTAATCATCCATTTTGACAGAAGATCACTGAAATCACCATATATTAATGTAGGACTGAAACTGCAAGCTCTGTTTAACTTTCAAACACTCACAGGAAAAGCACCAATTTTCACTTTGCAAGTCCTGCTTATCTCTGCAAACACAGGCAACTTTGATAAACGTGTTATTTTCTTGCCAACATACCTTGCAATCTTACATGGAAGTATATATATATATATTTCAGCAGAAACTGGACAGTTTTATAAAGAGGTTTTAGCTAATAAAATATCTTATCCACCAAAAAGATTGTTCTCCATCACGTCACTCATCATCCCAACATCCTCTACGATTGTCAAATGTTTTCTGCAAAGCTTCTCTAAAAAATAGTGGAAAACACTTTGTCTCCACCACATCCACTTTGGTATGAAGCAAAATAAACTTTTCCTACCTCCAAGCAGTGCTCGAGTCAGGAGAGCGAATACCACAGAGGAGATGTTCATTTTCCACGGCTGCAGCCTCCATAAACTCTCAGTTAAATGCCACTGAAGAAACGAAGCCCCAGGTTTCCCTCCTCCTCCTCCTCCTCCTCCTCCTCCTCCTCCTCCTCCTCCTCCTCCTCTTCCTTCTCCTCCTCGTCCTCCACCTCTTTTTTCCCCCAGCCAAGGAGTGTAATATGAAACATTGAACGCTCTGTTTCTACTCAGAACCTCCCTCCACACCCCTCCCCCCTCCCGTCACACACAGTGAAAACACATTTGGCAGGCTCACGTGCCCACACACAAACCTATACACATGCACGCAGGGCATACAGAAACAGACAGGTGAGCATGTGTGAGTACACACACACACACATACACCTCTGCTTCTGGCGAGTAAGTGGGAAATGTAATTTCCTGTGCTTGGTGGAGGGTAGGGAGGGGTGTGTTGGGCTGAGACTGACGCAGAGCAAATCACACTTCCAGCTGTGGAGGACAGCGGGCGCAGACAAAGAGGGAGAAGGGTGAGTGCCTGGGTTGCAGTCTGTGTTTGTGTGTGGGCATCTCTGTGGCCCACATTTTTAGTAGATAAATTCTGCAGTTAAAATGACTTGTTTCTCCCAGAGTTTCCGCTAGTGTTAAACTGGTATGGTTGCTCATCCTGCTAGCAAAATTGGTCCTCAAAACCCATATTGTGTCTGTGTGTGTGTGTATCTCATGTAACAGGATCCCATAGTGAATCTTTGTACAACAGTCTGTCAGCTCAGGGTTTTTGGGGCACTTTGTTGCCTTTTATCAAACCTCTGAGAGCAGCACTGTGAAGATCTGGGACACATTTGATTTACAGATAATAAAGGAGAAGGCCTGCAGGGCCTCATAAGTGCTTCTAGTCTGGCGACAGTTTGACAAACGTGGCTGTTACCTCGACAAAAAAAAGCCCCACTTTACCAATGCTCTGTGACCTTCAGCATTCAGTGCAAAATGGGGTGTGGGATTCACCAAATTAGGGACCAGAGCTCTTTCCTTAATGTTGTATATCAGAAAGAAATGAACATTTTGCAGCACAAAACTCAGCTAGTCCACACCACTGGCTGGAACATGAGTAAATATTGTGTAAATTGTATCTTAAAGCTGCATTAACTGATTTATCTGATGGAGGAGAAACTCCACAACAAGCTAAGAGCATAACATCACCGCATGAAGTCACTATGGCTAATGTGTTAGCAAGGAGCTAGGTATTTACACATCCAGCAGACAGAGAACAACATTAGTATTCATTTAAAGTTATGTTTATGGTTGGTTATGGTGTTTATCTCCTTTTAGCTCTGTTTTGGTCTCCTCCTGAGTAACTCCCTTGCGAGTTACCCTGTTGGTTCATCACTACACGCATTCCCTTTCACATTACACATAGTCTTTTGATCTGTTGTTAATGTAAAAATATTGATTATAGAAAACAATTCTTCTTTGGGATGGAGACAAACTGTAACATTAGCTTAGCAAGCAGGTAGTTAACAGGACGTCTACAGACGCAGCTGTACACTGATGATTAAATAGGTGAAGTAATCGCTCAAGTCGGTCAAGTTCTTACGTTTGGATTTTGCAAATAAAATGATATTTTTCATCTGAGAGAAAGTGCAGCAGTAGTTCATCATATGTGCAGTAAACAGACTTCAACAATTACTACATCTGTTAGTAATTATTCTGTGTTTGCATATAGGGTTACTGGGATATTAGAGAGTTGTTTTTTTTTATTGGTTCTTCTTCATCCATCTCTGAGCTGGGGGAAGCAGTTTCACAAAGTTGGCAGTAGACTCAGACTCCTAATTACAATGATATAGATCATATTGTACAGAGTTGAAACAGTGCCAAAACACTGTATCATTAAGAGTAACAGTACAATGAAACTTTGAGATGGTTTCCAAACGTTGAACCTCAGCCAACATGGACAAGAACTCCTGCTGGAAATTACGGCTCTGTGACAACTGGGCAATATCCATTTTCTGATGAAGGTCATGTGATACGATTGAAAGCTCCAGACCAGCTAATAAACTGACCTTGTGGTGAGACAGTGCTCAACTGCTCATATAGTGTTTTAAATGAATAATATCACTTTGGCTCTCAAATCCCATTTTCAAAATAAGTTTTTTTACGTAGTTTTAGCTCCACCAGCAAAGTTAGTATGTTAGCAATACATCTCAAAAAGTTTCCAAAACATGTGGGGGATGGGTTGTCCTTGGTTCGGAGCTTGGTCAGCTGCTGTACAATTCATCTGACAATTGAGGAATTTAAAATGTTACTAAAGTAGGAGGATTCTTCAGGTTTGCACTCTCCTATGTACTTTTTGTACTTTTTAAGTGCATTCGGTTTGTTTTTGTACATGCTCACTTCGTCCTGTACACTCTCAGACACCCACAGCACCTAACAGACACAAGCAATTTCTTTGAATACAGAAAGAACCTGCACGTGGGGAAAGGGCTATAAAATGAAAAAAGAACTGAGATTAAGGTACAGTAGAAAGGATTTTATTATGTCCATTAAATGGATGGGACTTGAAAATGTTGCTTCACGAAAAGAAGCTGGAAAACATTGTCATTATCCAGTTGTGATTAAATGCCCCATCAGTCATTTTTGTTAATCTGACATAAATACAAGTAATTAAAGTACAAAGAATTGTTTACTAGGCTCCCCTGGTGCTCAGATGTGAAGCCAGTAAGGAAGTCAGTTTTTTTTTTCTTTCTTGGAGGTATATATCACCCCCTTGTGGAAAATGTATGAAATGCTTACTTGTCCAGAGGCTTTCTGCTGAGTGGTGTTAAATAATCTCTGTGCAGTATGTGTGTCAGTAGAACAACTGGGTTCTTCAAGGCACAAGTGAAACAAAACACAAATACACCCACATATTCAGGCTCTTAAATAGCTGAAACCGAGTTCATAAGGCTTTTCAAACAACACAACTCTCCACAGCCGAATAAAAGTTACATTAATTCTCTTTGGATATTTATTATGAAAACCATCATGAAACATGTAATTGAGGAACAATGTTGATGTTTGTGCGACAAAACCTAAGGGGGGAAAAAGGCGCCTGGCTGACTTTTCACCCAGATGCCACTTTTGCAGGGTTCACATCATCCTGCAAATCACTCTGCCTGAACTCTAACACTTCATGTCATTGGACACCGCCGCCACAGGATGTTCTGGTTGGCTGAGATGGCTCAAAGTGAGTGAGGCTGTGGTTGAGAGTAAATAAAGGTTATAGGAACCGGTACTTTTTGATACGAACATGTGTCCTTAAACTAACAAAATACAAGAAATCAAATTTTTTTTGTGTGTCATTACAAAATATTTAGGGTCCATCTTCATGTCTTCCATGATTGCCATTTATGAATATAGACAAAAAAAACAAAATAGATAGATAGATAGATTAGTTTTGTGTTTAGTTTGATTGTATTATATCTATTATGTCAGTAACTATTCTAATTAGTTGATAAAACAATGTTGATATCTTACCTCTGAAGATCTCCTCATTCTACCATCTGTAGGTAAGAACAGTTTGACAACCTTCAGGAAACCACAGTGTTCATATTTCATACCATAGTCTCAAAATATTTTCTAATTTTCATGTGATTTAGCTATAAAATTTTTTTAGAGGAATCTAAGAAGACACATCTAGGAGGAATAATTTAGAAATGTTGTGTTGTTGTGTATTGTTCAGTTGTAAACGGCTGTAATATGATCTCACCTGTGTTGTTATCAATGACATGCTTCCTGATGATGCAGACCTTGACAATAATGAAACCAGCAACTATGAACAGGCCAATCCCAGCTCCGATTAAAGCATACTTAATATCTGGAAGGAAAACAACCAGCAGACATCATACGGCCATTCACACACAAGATGCAATTTAATATCCGTGACAGGACAGAACATCAGTTTAGGGAATGCCAGCTCATGTTCAGCCCTCCTGACAAGATGAACATGAAAGGTTTCGCGGGGGATGTTTGATTTCACAACTTGTTTACTTGGTGAAATAAAAAGAGCTCAGTCATGGTATCATGCTCCTTTTAACAAACTGAATTGCGTCACCAGTGTTTTCAATTTGAATCTTGGACGTATAGGAGTCATTGAGGGGGTCACTGCTGGTCGTTGTCACCCAACACCTTGTGTGTTGACTTCTACAACAAAACACTGGCAGTCAATTATACAAATATCGCCATTGCAGAAGTCATGCTTATGAAGCATTTTCACTTTACAAACAGGTGTGAATTCAGCTGTCCAGGCTGACAGGATTCTAGCAAGTTCAACATTAAGCCTACCAGGTACAAAACCGTCACAGTGTGATATTATGGTGCAGTAATAATTCACATTAAAAAAGGATTGATAAGTGTACACCTGTCTGTACAACATAATGCAAATACCAATTTTTGACAACAACGGACCGCATCTCATCTTTCCCTTTGGAGCCTTATTATCACAGGTATTACTTTAAGTGCAGCCTGTGGTATCAACTGTTCCAGTGGTGTCCAACGTTTGCCTGTGACCTCTCATCAATAGTTGCTACCAGTTGAACCAAAGATTGACCCCACCCCACCCCCAATGTAAAGCTATTCAGTTATTTATCAAAAACAAGCATTGATTTGAGGAGAGTCTGGAAAAAGTGCATAATTTTGTGCAACAGAAAATGTTTTTTATGCTTTCCTCTCCTGTTAATTATCTCATGACCA